AAAGTCGATGGGGGGGGGGGTGGCAGCGTGGCAAGCTGCATGTCTATAAAAGTGCCGGCATCCTTACGTGCTCACTTCCGAGCCGAGACCAATGTATTTGAGGGCGCGCGCAGTGCCTGCCTCGCCCACACTGCGGTAGACAAAGTAGCAGACTTATTTAAAAAAAAAAAAACACACAACGCGCGTGAGCCAAACATTGATTTGACGAGCATGTCGATGGGCGCGTGCGACATTGCTCACCGCCCTTGAAGAGGCCAGCATAGGCTCGCACCTCGTCGCCTGCTAGATGACCCGTCGTGAGGTCGCCCATGCGGCTCTGCGCCCATTTGCCAAGTTCAGCATCCGTCTCGATCAGTTTGGTAGGAGGTTGAAAGCCTGGACGAGGAGGTGAGTGGGCGAGCAAGGGATGGTGGTGGGCGTGAGTAGGCGACGAACGTACGTATGACGCGCGAATTCTCAGTCAACTCACTGCCTCCAAGCATCTCGCGATTCTCTTCCAAGATGTCCTCTGCCGTGCTGACGATCAGCTTGAGCATCCTGAACGAGAGTCATGTCATGCAAAATGACCAACCACATTGTCAATGGCCATGCTCCATCCGGGCGGGGGAGAACGAAAGACACGACGTGCCCCACCCCACCCCAACATCCTCCACTCACCGATCTCCACGCGTACCAAACGTGCGCCTGCGACCAGCATCTGCGCCGAATCGCAAGCAGACGCGCAGATTGGCCCACAGGTCGGGACTGAAGTGCACGCCGCCAAAGAATGCGGACACGCGCTGAATATCTTCTGGCATGCATGCAGCGGGGGGCATGGAGCAAGATGTACCGTCCCGCTGCTGAGGGTTGCTGCGATGCAGCAAGGGGTGGATAGCTGATGAGCCGTCGTCGTTGGCGTGAATGATGCCAGTGTTTGGCTGAGCCGAGCGAGTAGCAGTGGACGTGTGCGTGTGCGGATTGCCCGTTACGTAAGAAGGTGGCAGGGTAGCAGCGCGTTCGTAGCCAGATGGAGCGACGGCATCCCCTGCGGCGCGTGGATGGGCGTGAGGATGAGCTCGACAAGAGATTTCATCTTGACATGACATGCTGTGGAATGTATCGTCGGACACGGAACGAAGCGTGCCTGCTGCTCGTGGGTGTCCGTGTCCGTGCGCGTGTCCGTGTCCGTGTCCGTGCCTAGAGGCCAGTCTGAGCGAAGGCTGATCCACATTGCCGTACATCATCTTGCGCAAGTCATCATCCTGCACATCCAGCGCGCCTACGCTTGCTCCAGGATCAGCTGGCAGAGCGGACGAAGGGCGTGCTGCATGGGTGGCATGGGTGGCATGGGTGGAGAGGTCAGGGCGCATGACGATGCTTGGCAGTCCAAAGCCTTCAGCTTGCAGTCGAGCCACATACTCGTCCAGGCGCACCACGGTGATGGCTGAAGCCGAGCTTGGCGTGCTGCTGCCTGGCCGCACATCCTCCTGGCTAGGAAAGGGAGTGTGAGTGGAAAGAGCGGTGCTGTTAGTGCTCAGAGTGGAGTTGGAAGTGCAAGGTGAGGCCAGGGCGGAATGGCGTTCGAGGTGAGCAGCGCTGGATTGCGATTGCGATTGGCTCTGAAACGAGCGCAGCAAAGTGTCGGCGGGCGCGGGCGTGGGCAGCGGGGCGACAAGGAGCAGGTCCTGATGGCGGGGCGACGTGGGTGGTGAGTTGGTGGAGGGGTGAGCGAAGGGAATGCTCTTTGCGCGATCCTTGAGGCTCAGTGTGATTGCATTTTGACTCTTCTGACTGGTGTCAGCGGGCAATGATGCCTCCATATCGCGCTCAGGCAGCAGCATGGCGTGAGTGTGGGTGTGAGTGTGAGTGTGGGCACGCGCGCAAAGGTGTGCGTGTTGTGTTGCGCTGTCTAAGCGTATGCGACGACGTGCCTTTTTGGAGCAAGAAGCAGGAGCGAGCGGCCTTATATGCCGCCACCGCCTGCTGTACTTTGCTCTGATCGCCCGCTAGCTGCTGTGCTCTTCTCTCGCAGGGCAATGGTGGGTGAAGGGAAGGCGTGGCATGCATCCACGCAAGCAGCCAGCCAAATGGCAGATATGACCAGATCGCCGACGCTCAGCTAGCTTGGCTGACTGGCCGACACAGAGACAGAAACAGAGACAGAGACAGCGTGCAGTCGCTCCAAATGCGCCCAAGTCTCGAGCGATGATGATGATGATGATCGCAGCCGCCGTACGTGAGTCGAGGCCGCGAGTAGACGTGCTGCCTGATCAATCAGCATCATGCGCCCGGGCCAAGCACCCTATCAGGTCTGCCGCTGCTGCCGCTGCCGCTGCTGCTGCTGCTCGAGTCGACTCACCAGCAGTCGTGAGTGCAAGTTGTGAAACACGAGACACGAATGAGCGTCGGTCGAGTCGAGGCGCAGCGCAGCGTATGGAGATGTGGCCATTCATGCAAGAGTGTGAGTGCAATAAAGCAACTTGCGGCCAAAGTGGTGAGACGTGAGACGTGAGACGTGACTCTGACGCTTTTGCGCTTCGAGTCAAAGTGTCAGACGTCGCATGCACAGACCGCCGCCGCTGCTGCATGCATGCCAATTTACGATCCATTCTTGATTTTGATTGAATTCAAAAGTGAACGCACGCCACAAGGCGGAATCTATACCCCTTGCCTTTTTTTAATCGACGCAGACAGCCGCGGCTCCGCTCCGTTCCGCGCTATACATCATCCAGCAGCCTCATGCGTGCGTGCGTGCGTGCCTGCCTACTCAAAACTCTTACTCGTGACTACTCACGACTGTCTGGCTCGTGGTGATCACGCGGATATAGGTGTCATCTACTGGACATCATGTCCAGCAGCTCTACCTCGGAATTCTGTCTGGATCACGAATCACGAATCTGTTGTGCGTGCGAATTGTTGCGATCGTGACTTTGCAGCCTGACATGTTGGTTCGGCAGGACAGTCTTGGGTGAGAGTCAAGAGTTGCATGGCCATCCACATCCACATCACGTGAATCACGAATTGAGAAGGCACGCACGAATCGCCCGGAATGATTTGAGAGCGTAGATGGAAGCGTGAATTAAATGAGTCAATCACGAATCTTGCATTCCACGCAGGCGGCGGCTTTGGTGTCTCGATCGCAGTCGTGAGTCATGAGTCACGGGTTGAGTGCGGTTCATTCAGATTGCACTTGCTACTGCATGCATGTACTGTATGCCGCTGGCTGAGCGCGTGGAGCGGATCTGTAGCTGCATGCTGCTGCTGCTGCTGATGCTGCTGCAAGGGCGCGCCAGTCCGCCGCGGCTGGCCGCTGTTCACGAAACAACACGCGACGGGCAAGTCGCGAGTCTGCTGAGTGCGCGGTATGTACGCGCCTCTTCTGCGCGACCGACTCGCGGCGCGCGCTATTCTGACGCGTGTTGCTGTTGCTGTTGCTGTTGCTGTTGGGTGTGCTTTGTCGATCTTGAACGAGCGCGCGAGCGATGGGACATCCATCAGGCACGGGCGTGTGACCACATCGAGGGGAGTCGTGCCTGTGTGCGTGCGAGCGTGCGAGCGTGCGAGCGAGGCTGAGTCGAGAACGGCCGGCCTGCCGCGTGAGCGAGGGTGTGAGCGTCGAGGTGGATGGAAGGAGGCTTCACCCGCCCCGCCGCGTCTGCCTTTCATCGCGCAACCATCACTCTCCAGCCTCTCCTCGTGACGGCAACAACTACAACAACAACGACAACAACAAAGGGCCGCTTTCACTGCAGACCTCCATACCCATCGACCACCATCGCAAGGACGAGGGCACTTTCATTCACGCACCCACATACGTCTGCGTCAGCTCCTCGACCTCGACCTCGACCTCGACCTCGACCTCGACTTCGACTCTTGACTGCTCGCACCCGCGCCCGCACCCGCGTCACCGCGCCCACGATAGACAGCAGACACAAGCATGGAGAACTACCAAAAGCTGGAAAAGGTTGGAGAGGGTGAGTGTATGCGCGTACTGGCTGGCACCAGCCGGCCGAGGCCTGGTTGAAGACCGCACGCAGGTCGGCATCGCATCGCAACAGGCACTCATACTTTTGCGCACTCTCAACTTCGGCCCCCCGCTTGCAGGCACATATGGAGTAGTGTACAAGGCCAAAGACTTGAGCAAAGGCGCCAATGGTCGCATTGTGGCCCTCAAAAAGATTCGCTTGGAGGCAGAGGATGAGGGCGTTCCATCGACGGCCATTAGGGAAATCAGTCTGTTGAAGGAGCTGAAGGATGATAACATCGTCAGGTGGGTCAGGGCTTCATGGTCGCAGTGGCATGCAAGTGAGCTCACAATCGACGCACTCGCGCGCGCACACAATCACAGGCTGCTCGACATTATCCACCAGGAGTCCAAGCTGTACCTCGTCTTTGAATTCCTCGACTTGGACTTGAAAAAGTACATGGACAATGTCGCCCATTCCAAAGAGGGCATGGGTCCTGACATTGTCAGGGTGAGTGGCAGTGAAAACTGTCTCTCATCGCACGCGCGAGGTGACTAACAGCGACTCTTTGCCCCCACAGAAATTCACCTTTCAACTCATCCGAGGCATCTACTATTGCCACGCACACCGCATCCTTCACAGAGACCTCAAGCCACAAAATCTCCTCATCGACAAGGAGGGCAACTTGAAGCTGGCAGACTTTGGGCTCGCGCGTGCTTTCGGTATTCCTCTTCGCACATACACCCACGAGGTGAGTGGGGCGGGTCGGATCGGATCGGGTGAAGTGCGTGTCCCTGGTCGCCTTGCTGATCTGATCGCGCGCTTTCGCACAGGTCGTGACGCTTTGGTACAGGGCACCAGAGGTGCTGCTTGGGTCGAGACACTACAGCACGGCCATCGACATGTGGAGCGTAGGCTGCATCTTTGCCGAGATGGCAATGCGCGCTCCCCTCTTTCCCGGAGATTCAGAAATCGATGAGATTTTCCGCATCTTTAGGTGAGCACGACGGAAACGCGCCGGGCTGAGGTCGCACGCTCACTGAACTTGCCGCCGCACAGAACGCTGGGAACGCCCACCGAGGAGGTGTGGCCAGGTGTGGGCAACCTTCCAGACTACAAGGCTACCTTTCCTCGTTGGAACGGGATGCCGCTCAGCAAGGCGGTGCCCGCCCTGGACGGTCAAGGTATCGAGCTGTTGAGGTCGATGTTGGTGTACGACCCAGCAGGCAGAGTCAGCGGTGAGTGGTGATGGCGGTGGTGCGTGGTGAGCGAGAACAACGGCGCTGACATTCGCATGCGACTCATACGCGCAGCCAAACGCTGCCTAGACCACGGCTACTTTCGCAACCCCGGTGCTGCAGTCGTAGCTTAGAAGCGCGGTCTCACGGGCACGCCAACACGTTCATCGACACGACCCTGTACGACTCTGTCCTGTAGCCATTTCTCTCTCGTCCTCGCAATACACCACGATCAAGAACGCGCACACACGCACACGGTGACAGGGTATGAAGTGGCATTGCTGGCGGAGATGGGCGCACGGAGGTGCTGCTATTCTCCCCGGTACCTCTGAGATTCCCAATCGCCCCATATGGTCTTGAGGATGGACCTTTGAGCCTGATCCATGTCGGACAGCATCAAACTGTCCCTCTCATGCCTTCCCATCATCTCACACAGCGCATACAGGCCCGGTTTGAGCTCAGTCCTGCACCGAGCAGAAACGTAGGTGGCTGGATGGATGAGAGATCGAATGTGAGCTGCGAGGACGTGGGGCGCGTACTTTGAAAAGGCTTGAGCAAGGGATGTCGATTTGCTGGGTGCGCTTCGCTTGCGCTTTTTGCTAGTTGCGCTGCTGCCGCTGCCGGTGCCGCCGTTGGCGGGGTGGGACTTGGTGGTGAGCGTGGTCAACAGACGAGCCATACTTTGCGCGTCTCTTTCGTCGAGCGGTGATTGGAGAATGTCTAGCCACGCGGGTGAATTTTGAGTGACCTTGTGCAAGTGGGCGGGTGCTACCTCTGCACGTGCTTGACCGAAGAGGGACACGAGTCGGATCAGGACGACCATGAGGTGTGGGAGAGCGCAAGAGATGAGATCGTTGCGCAGGCGGCAAAGGGCGCCCAGCGTCGTCGTTATGGATTTGAAGATGGCAGAGCTCGGCACGAAGGCCTCCTCATGTGCCTGTCGCAATCGCGACCGCGGTCCGATGAGCTTGCTGATGATGGTCAGGAGCAAGCTGACGTCGGCGAGCCGGAGTAGCATGGCTCGGGTCGAGACGACATTCTGGACGAGGTGCATAATTGGCGAGAGAAGCACAAGGGGAAGCGTATCGATGTAGAGGTTGACAGTGCCCAAGAGCGCCATCCAGTGCCTTTGTGCCATCTGCAGTGTTCCTTCGGGACCGCGTTGAAGGAGGTGCTGCAGGGTGAGGAGCAGACCTCGAGCGTCGCGTCGACGCGCTGCCGCTGCCGCTGCTGCTGCTGCTACGCTCGAGTCGGTCAAGATTAGCCGCAAGGCATCCAGTGCGGTCGACAACGCTGCGTCGTAATCTTGGCGAGTGAGCTTGGATGTGCATGCAGCGCAGGCATTCGCAAGATCGTCTCCCGCTGCAGAATCAACGCTCGCAAGAATAGCAGCGAGGGCAAGAGCGATGCGACCGCCCAAGGCGCAGCGCGGATACGTAGAGGTCTGCAGTACAGCACCAAGCAGCCGCACGTACTGGAGCGCGAGATCACCCGTGAAAGCGGTGCAGATGGATTCGACAGTTTTGCGCTCGAGCAGCGTGGCCGCGCTCGACTCGGGCAGGCTTGATGGAGACGTTTGCAAATGATGCGAGAGCTGGAGGCGCAGTCGAAGCTGCAGCATCTGTTGCGCAGCTTGAGCCGCAGCTTGATGTGCGAGACTGTGGGTGATGCTCCACACGTCGTCCTGCATCGTCCCCGGAAGCTGATCTTGCAATACCGCAATGATCTCTCCCGAAGGCGCTCTTCGATGTTCGCCGGCTCTCTCTGTGAACGCGGCGAGTACTGCTGCGCGGGCAGATGCGCACTGCAGCTGAGACGCCGGCGAGCTGGCCACTTGCTCTGCGTCTCTCGCACCCTGCAAAAATTGCGCCAGGATGCTCCACCACTCGGACTGCTGGTTTGGCGCTGCACTCGATGCCCAATTTACAAATGACGTAGCAAAGGCAGAGATTAGGCGCCCACTTTCGCTCGCCCCCGCAAAGGGCGCAGAGAGCGCGCGTTTTGCAGCCTCGACCAATTGTTCTCGCAGCTATTGGAGGGCGCAAGCGCTGTCAGCCTGGAAAAATTGCGCCGCATTTGGTAGCACTGAAGCTCACCTCTTGATGAACAGCGTGAGAAGGCAGCTCGGCGGACAAGCTCTGCAGCAAGCGGGTCTGGAATCTGAGCAGGATCGGTGCAGCGTTGGTGCTGTCGCTGCGCTGAAGAGACGCAGCAAGGCCAAGAGAAGAGACGAGCAAGGATCGCTTCAAGTCGATGTCGAAGTAGGCCATGGGGAGCAAGTCGAGCGCCAGTACGACGGCGTCGTTTTCGCTCTGCACTGCCACGAGTATGGCTTGACGCCAATTCGCCAGCTCCAGAAAAGCGGCGTCGCGAGCGAGATAGTGCAGCGGTGAGCGACTCTCATCAGCACCAATCGCGTGCGCGTGCCATGCTGGCAAGAGACACTTTTTGCAAAATTGCACGAGGGCATGTCGAGGGGCAAATACGCTGTCGAGTATGCAGAATAAAAGGCGTCAGCTGGGGCGTATCTATTGGCACGCTGGTGCAAACGACTTACTCGAAAGCCTCGCTCAGCTCCCAGACCACCGCAGCTTGGCAAGCGAGCCTGTCCTGCGCCGTCGAGGCGAGTGCTGCGTCGTCGCTGCCACCAGAGCAAAGCTGCATGACTCGCTCGATTGCAAAATCGAGGTGGTCGGATGGGGGCGCGTGCGCATCGTGTATGGTGGCAAAGTACAGTGCCAGCTTGACGAACGACAAGAGCAGCGCCGTTGTGGCCGTGCCTGTGGCTGTCGCGATGATCTTGCAGATGCGTGCGCAAGCGCTTTCAAAGGTGCGTCTGTGGCGCGTGATGCTGCGGAATGCATGCGCAGTACCGTCGTCGCCGTCGTCGTCGTCGCCGTCGCCGTCCTCGGTATGCGCGACTTCTGACAAGTCTCTGCCGCTGCGCAATCGCAGGTCCACAGCGCGATGCAGATGCAAACTCTCTGCCAGCGCCTCAATGCCGCGTCCCTCTGTTTTGCCGACGATGCTGTCCAGCACGAGGCAAAGTTGTGCATCCGTTTGGTGACGCAGAGGCTCTGGGAGGTGGATGTGGAGTATGATGCTGCTGGCGAGGCGCAAAGTTACCACCGCCGCCGCCGCCGACGATGACGACTCGTGCTGGGCGTGGTCTGAGAGCGCGGCGAGTCGGGCATTGACATGTTGCAGGACATGGATGACGTGATCGGGAGGTAGGAACACGGCGACGCTTGTGCATAGACTAGCCATGATGGACGCGGAAAAGAGGGGACCGCCAAGAACTTCTTCCAAGCTGCCATGCTCGACGGCCGCCACTGCAGCTTGGAAGCACAGCTCGACGAGTTGGGAGACGCTCCTTTGCGATTGCGCTGCGCGAATGAGCGCCTGGAGAAAGGCCTGGCCTGCGTCAGAGGCTGCTGTTGCTTGCGGTGCTCTGGCCACACAGACAAGAGCACGCGAGAGGAGCGGTGAGAGAATGTGGTCGTCGAGCGCATACATGATGCTCAGCGCATCGATGGTGTGCGCTGCGCCGCCATGCATCATCGCACTCAGATCGTCGACCAGTGCGCTGGCCACTGCGGCAAAGTGAGCCTTGCACTGCATCGCTCCTCGCGCGTAGATGCGCAGATGCTGTACCTGTTGCAACAGCTGCGCGCACGCCTTTGCTCGCAGAGATGCGTCGGGCGTGCGGTTGATGAGTGCTTGTGCAGGAATCAAAAAGGCCTGCAGCTCGATGGCGCGCTGCTGCTTGCGTTGTGATTCGAGGCTGGAAGCGGTGGCGATGGTGGTGGCGATGGATGAGCTGGGGTGTGTGTGGGTGATGGGAAAGAGGAGAGCGCGATGGCGCGAGAGCTGCTGGTGGAGCTGGTAGAGCAGCTGCGGCAAGATGTGCAGCGCATCCTCTCGCTCTGCTGCGTCGGTGTCGAGAGCAGCAAAGAGCGCTTCAAGAGTGTGCGGGTGCGGGTGCGGGTGCGGGTGCACGTGCTCTTGCGCTTTGGCTAAAGAGACTTGGGCGAGTTGATGCAAGCTGAAGAGATTGTCCAGCGCGAGTTGGGAGAGGGCAGCTTGCAAGCCGTGCTTGGTGGGTGTGGCAGGCAGCTGGTCCACCAAGCGCGTGACTGCAGCGTAGTGGCCCACCGCGTGCTGCACAAAGTGGGCAGACAGCTGTGTGAGGAGCGTTGAAGGGGAAGAGAGTGAGAAGATGAGCGCTGCACTGCGATACGATGCTTGCTCACCTTTTTGGCAATGGCAGTGCCTACAATCGCATCGCACGCAGACCTGCTAGCCCGGTGCAGCGATGTCAGCAGGCAAGACACGTGGACGTGGGCGTGGGCGTGCGTGTCGGCGTGGCAGGCTGCTGTGGCTGTCTGGCTGGACGTCGACGTCGACGTCTTGTCGTCGATGGACTGTGACTGGCTGAGGTGCTGCCTGGCAAAGCGCAGCAATGCGATCATGGCATCCGACAGAGCATCGATGTCGGTGTGTGCGTGTGGGTGCGCTCGCTGCATGACTGCTGCGAGGCCAGACAGCACAGCATCGATGCGTTGACTGCTGCTGGAGTCACAGTGCAGCAGCAGCTGGTGCAGCGTGGTGCGCATCAGACGCAGCAGAGGGTGCGGTGCGAGGATGCATGTGGCTGTGCGGGTGTTGAGCGTGGGCAGGATGCGCTGCAACAGCAACCACAGCTGTAACAGCGCATCCTCATCCTCGTCGCCATCCTCCACCACACTCGTCGCCTCTGCCGCCTTGCTGCCCGCGTTCTTCACCCTTTCCCTCGCCCAAGCCCTTCGCACAGGCTTGCATAGCGTCGTCAATGTCCAATCCAGCAGCGTTTCTGCTCGTCTCGCAAACATCCCTCCATCCTCATCCTCGCACTCCCACGCGATGCGAGCAGCCTGCACTTTGATGGCCAAGCTGCTGCTGCTGCTGCTGCTGCTGCTGCTCTGACTGGGATCGGATTTGAGCAGCTTGATGAGCGCTTCGGATGATGTGATGCCGAGATCTGCCAGAGTGGTGGGTGTGGGTGTGGGTGTGGGTGTGGATGCGGATGCGGATGCGGCTGCCATGGGAGAGTGGTAGCTGGATGATCCGCTGGCGCTGCTGCTGCTGCTGCTGGCAGCGCAAGGCACCATGATGGCTATGGGTGTGTGCGCGCGCGTGTGCTGGTGTGGGAGAGATGCGCATGTGAATGTGAATGTGAATGTGAGTGTGAGTGAATGCGAAGGAAGCATCATCCAGCGCGCGAGGTCGCGGTGCCCGCGCGTGCTGCGTGCAAAAGGCGCCGCGGCAAGGAAGCAGAAAAAAACGACTTTTTGGGCGGCGCGTGGCTGTGCTGCTTTCGCGTCCCACTATCTTTAGCGCGCGCCAGAGGCTGATGCGCGTCCCACTTCCCCTCGTCACGTGACTGCATCGACAAAAAAAGTTCAGTGGCGCGCCCACGCCCTCAGTCACGAGTGCTCGAGTCAAGAGTGCTCTTCTCCACCTCCCCGCACCACCACCACCACCACCGAGTCCATGCAATCACTGAATCACGGCGCTTGCTTTGGCGTCAAGTCGGAACTGCTAAAATTCCCGCATCGTGCCCATCATTTACCCGCAACTCGGTCACAATGTTCAGCAGATTGCCACCCGTCATCTCCTCGGCCAAGGCGGCAAAGGCTCAGCCCCCGAAGCGCAAGAACAGGACCGCACAAAAGGCCAAGGCCAGTGGCAGCTCATCCAAGTGGTTGCAAGAGTACAGCGATGTTAGCGAGAATGACGACAACCACGACGATGACGATGACGATGCCTCATCCGCAGCATCTTCAGAGATTGGCGCGAATGGTTGGGATGAGCATGAGTACGGCACTGCGCGTGGATGGGGAAGGGATGCTGCACAGGGTGAAGAAGATGCGGGCGCAGCGGACATCAGCAGTCTCGCCATGAAGAGCTTCAAGCCTGCCATACGCGCAGGTGCGGGTGCGGGTGTGGGTGACGATGAGGACGAGGATCCGTCAATCTCCACATCGGCCAGCGAAGCAGAAGAAGACGAGGAGGAGGCCATTCGAACACGTGAGCGCATGTCGGCGTCGCTTGCGGCTCACGCTCGTGTCCTGACCTGAATTGCTCATACTGCCATTCCTGGTAGAGATGCGCAGCGTACCTTTTGGCGCTCTAGCCAAGGCGCAAGCAAAGCTCGAACAAAGCCGCATCGCGAGGGGCGTCTCTAGTTCCAGTAGCGAGCAGGATTGGCAAGATGCCAGGAGCGAATCGAGCGCATCGCTGATGGAGCCGAACGATGAAGAGGACGAGTGGGAAGCGGAGCGCGAGGCCAAAAGAGCTCAGGTCAGGTTGCAGCTGCAAGCCATCAAGCCAGCAGGGCTTCATCATCGCAAAGAGACGCAGGTAGCGCGGGACACTGTCGATTCGGATCGCAGCCGCGCAGAGATTGCCAGCCGAATCCACAAGCACGCGTGAGTGTCGCACAAGCAACACGAGGGCGCATACACTCACCTTTGACGCGCATACATTTGCTGCTCGCCCACCATCTCAGCCCCACCGAGCAATCTTCGCGCCGACCCGTGTCTCGCAAGCGGCAAGTCGTGGACGTCGCTGCTTCCGTGAGTGGCGTGGCGTGTCGTGCCGTGCGTGCTGCCACTTGCAAACCCCGCAGCTCTGCTGAATCGCACCAATTCCACATCCACAGCGCTCTCGTGATCCGCGCTTCTCTGCGCTTTCAGGCTCGACGCACAACAAAGCGCTCTTCAAAGCATCGTATGGATTCCTTCGCGATGTTCAAGCTTCGGAAGTCGGCGACCTGAAAACGACGCTCTCGCGTCTCAACAGGCTGGAGCGCAATCATGCTGGTCCAAAGGCGCGGTCTGAACGTGCGCTAGAGATACGCGAGGAGAAGCGGCGCGTAGAGGAAGCATTAAGACGTGCGGAAGGGTTGGAGAATGAGCGCAAGAGGAGGGAGAGGGAGGACGCAGTGCTAGGCGGCTATAAGCGGGAACAGAGGGAGCGCAAAAGGGCAGGTGGCAAGACGTATCACCTCACAGATGGTCAGTGGATCCGGTCGCTCTCGCTTGGAGAGCGAAAGCGCTTTCTGACGATGTTTACCGCTGCACTCTCCTTTATCAGCCGCGAAACGTGCACTGATCTTGCAAGACAAGTATGCTCGGCTGTCTGGCGGAAAAGGTGCGAATGCTACGCCGGTGGGCGGTCGTGGTGTGGGTGATGCCAGTGCAGCTCCTGCCGGGAATGCCGATAGATCGGCACTGCGCAAGGCTCTGGAGCGTCGCCGCAAGAAGAATGCGCAAAAGGAGAGAAAGGAGATGCCTGGCTTTGCGAGGGATGGTGGTGGCGGTAGCGGGGCTGCATCGGGCGCCATGAGCCGCGAGAGGAAGCGAGAAGCTGCCAAGATCCAGGGCGTGCATCCTCACAAGCGAGGCAGACGAGGTTGACGGTCGAACGCGTCGAATGCATGCGAATCGAGTGCGATGTAGTCGGCGAGCTTTGGAGCTGCGATGTCGGCGAACTTTAATGTTTTCATGACACGGGCGAGTGAGAAGCGTCACCGAGGGTGGGCATGGCACTCATCATTCAGGCGCTTTGATAGGTTGCCATCTTTCTATTCGTGACCGCGGATCGCATCGAGTGGCGTGGTCAGGGGATAGGACTGCTTTGCAAATCCAGCATTCGCCCGACATGATGGCCAGCGACGAAACCTATGCGCGATTGCGCAAGCACACTTTGCTCAATGCAGCGGTTACTCACAAGCTGTACCAATTGATGACACGCGCAGTGCATCCCATCCAGGTGAGCCTCCTAAAGCTGACCTATCTCTATGCCTCGAGAGTGAGGATGTGGGCCTGGGGCTGCTGCATGGCGTTCGTGCATGCGCCCATATAATTGTCGAGAGGGTTTGCAGTCAAATGAAGCACCAAACTGCAATCTCCTGGCTCTCAGGTGTCAGAATGAGACCTGACCTGATTTTGTTGTTGAGGGCATTTACAGTAAAGTGGCATACCAAGCAGCATTCTCCTGGCTCTGAGGTATGAGAATGAGACCTCATTTTGGCTGTGGGGTGGCTCAACAACTTTTGCAGAGGGTGTGCGCGTGCGCGTGCTGTGTGTGTGAATCTTGAATGCCCTGGCAAAAGTTGTTCAGAGCGTTTGGGGACATTTGGCTTACCAAGCAGTGTTCTCCTGGCTCCCAGCTATCAGAATGAGACCCTACTGGTATAAGTCGAGGATTTTACGCCGTAAACTAGGCTGCACCCCGCCAAAAAGACGCGTCCGGACGTCCGCGGACCTTGATTTTCAAGATTTTACGCCGTAAAAGTGCGCAGACAGATTTCTGCCATACAGACGCGTGCTCTGCTATACGGATGCGTGCGCGCGCCATACCGACACGCGCGCGCCCCATACAGCCATGCAGGCGCGCGCGCTATGCGTAAACTATCCGCTGCACGCATCAATTTGTACGCCGCACCCCAGCCTGCTGTGGTGGCCGTCACGCCTTTGTTGCGTGCCAAACATCCCCCAGATCACCTCATTGTCCCTGGCACCAACACTTTGACTTGCTGGTGTACGGCAAGCAGGCTACCAAACGAGAAGCCAATCACACAGTCAGGAAGCTGTGATAGGGGCATTTTGTGTGGTGCAATTTGCTTGCTCAGATGGTGCCCCAGCAAGCACAGAACACGCGCACAATCCAAGAGTGATGCGCGTCAACTTCTCACCAAACAGGTGCA